TGATGCGGAACATGCAACTGAAGCGGTTGGGGTTAGCGAGGACCAGCGCCGAGATGACTGCGACGAACGCGCTGTACAGCACGGCCAGCGAGTAGTTGGTGATCCAGGAGCGGCGGTAGCGGTAGCCAAAGTTATACACGGCGGCGGCGTTCACAAACTGGAACAGGCACACGATGGAGATGAGCTCCGACTCGTAGTTGTCGCCGAGGATCCACCAGAGGCTGGTGTCAATGTCTCGCGAGTCAAACTCGTGGCAGCGGAACCAGCCTTGCGCAAACAGCAGGCCGATCAGCCCAAAAAGGAAGGCGTAGTTGATGGCGGTCTGGCCCCAGATGGAAGCCAGGGTGTGCGAGCCAATGAGGCGAGCGGTGGGGCGGCTGGGAGCAAGCGTGCGGGCGGTCTGCGCCTGCGTCACGGCGATGCACAGGCCGACTGCGATGAACGAGTCGATGAGGATCCACACGGCCTGCGGCACGATGACGGAGAAGTAGAACTGCGTAATTTCGAGCATCGACATGGTCGTCGCGTAGTTGATGAGGAACTTGTACGCAGCAAACGACGTCGCCAGGCCGGCGCGGCCCTCACGCAGCAGCGTCACGCACGAGCCGATCGAGCGGCTGCTGCTGGAGAAGGGCGACACGATCGACGCCTCCGACTCGGACAGCGCCAGGCCAACGTGCGCAGCGCGCAGCGCGCCGCAGTCGTTTCCACCGTCGCCGCACATGCCGGTGACAGCGCGCTCCATGTGCAGGCGCACGCACTCGGCCTTGCCCAGCGGCGTCATGCGGGCAAAGACGCGGATGCTGAAGAGGAGCTTGCGGACTGCGCTTGAGCTAACGAGGTGCGAGAAGGCAGCAGCAGTTACCGCCAGCTCAGTGTGCTCCTGGCTCAGGGCGCGGTCAATGTCGCCAAGGTCGTCGGCGACCAAGCGGTCGTCGGCTGTGTCGCGCCACACCAGGCGCCGGGCATCGCCATCGCCATCGCCATTGCCCTCCATGTCGCCCAGCACTACGCGCACGGCTGCGCCGACCATGCCACACTGCCTGGCAATGAACACGGCGGTCAGGGCCGAGTCGCCTGTTATCATGACCGTGCGAGTGTCGCCAGCGCGCAGCTCGGTAATTGCTTGCGCCGTGTCGTCCTTGAGCTTGTTGCGGAAGAGAAGCAGGCCTACCAGGCTGCACCCGGACTCCATGTGCTCGCGAGGCAGGCGCACCACCTCCTTGGCCGCACCCAGGTTCTTGTGAGCCAGCGCCAGCACGTAGCAGCCCTCGCGCGCCCACCTGGCAGCCACTGCGTCATAGTCTGCGGGGATCGACCCGGGCGCAGCCATGTGGCGCAGGCGCTCGAACGAGCCCTTGACAAACACGTGCACGTCGCCTGTAGCGGCGTCTTGCACGGCCACTGACATCGACTGCCGCGCGTGGACAAACTCGAAGCGCTTGAGGACGTGCGCCACGCGCTGCTGCCCGTCGGCGGCGAACGGCGACACCAGGGTGTCCACGTGCTCGTCGCTGGGCTGCAGGGTCCAGCCCGTGGCGCGGAACTGCTCGACGTCCACGGGGTTGCCGATCAATTGCCCGCCCACGGCCGCCACGGCGTGGCACGACGCAAATCCCAGCTGCGCCACGTCCGACAGCAGCGCCAAGTCAGCCTCCTCAGCGCCGAACTCTGGTATGGGCTGCGATGGGACCGTGGGCTGGACCGCAAGAAACTCGAGGCCCTCCTTGGTCAGGGTGCCCGTCTTGTCGAAGCAGAACACCTGCACCTTGCCCGCCATCATGATGCGCGGCAGGTCCACGCAGTAGATCTGCTTGCGTCGCAGCCGGTCTGCCGCCACTGACTGGCCCACCACCAGCGCGGCGGGCAGCAGCGGAGATATGACTTGCGAGATCACAAATACGCCATAGAACCACGACGTCACATCATGGCCCATCAGCCAGATCGTCACAGCAAACCCGAATCCGCCGTACGCCAGCAAGATCACCAGCGCCACGCGCAGCTGCTCGTCAAACACAAACGAGTACTGCGTCGGGAACAGGATGCGCTGGATCAGCTCGCCCTTGTCGGTGGCCGTGCGCGTGCGCATAACGAGTATCTGCGTCTCAGGCTCGCCAGAGCCGAGCCTCTGCGCCTGGCTTTGCAGCACTCGCGTGCCGGCAAACACCGAGTACGTCTTGCCCGCGCCAGCCACGTCGTACGGAATGGCATCGTCCTTCAGCGCCAGCTTGCGCACTGGCTTGGCCTCGCCCGTCAGCGAGCTCTCGTCCACGACGGCCTCGCCCTGCAGCACGCATCCGTCGCACATGATCTCCATCCCGTCCTCCACCGCCACCACGTCGCCTGGCACCAGATCGGCCGTGTTGAGCTCGGCCCACTGCTCGTCGCGCCGCACGCGGCACACGCTCTTGTGCTCAGCCAGCGACTTGACCTTGAGCTCGCTGCGCTGGCGGATAATGACCTTGATCAGCGCCGAGATGACGATCACGCCAAACTGCACGAGCGCCATCTTGTAGTAGTTGAAGTAGAACCACACCCACAGGCACATCAGCTGGTAGAGGTAGAAGAAGCTGAAGAATTCTTGCAGCACCGCCACGGGGAACGAGGGCACCGACACTCGGATAAAGTTCTCGCCAATGTGCGACCCGCGGTGCTGGGCCTCGCTGCTGCTGAGCCCGCTGCGATTCTCGAGCAAGGCGCAGTGCGTGTCGCCCAGGCTGAACATGTGGCTCTGGAACCGGCCCGAGCCCTGGTCCAGCACGTACCGCGTGCACCGGTACTCTATAAACTCTCGCTTCGCGCCAGAGTCGCCGACCGCCGCCCTTTGCAACGCGCACGTCTCAGCAGTAATGTCCAAGTGGAGGCGCTGCACCAGGGTATCACGCAGGGCGTTGACCAGCGCCGTCAGCTGGCTGTGCTCGCCCTCCATCAGGATCACCTCGGCGCGCCGCTGCTCGACCTGGACTACGCGCGCCGCTGGCAGTGCGCACTCGATGCGGAAGTAGTTGCGCAGCTTGCTCTGGCACGCTAGCATCGTAATCATCCACAGCCCACCCAGGTGCCACACAAACACGAACACGTACATTGACGTCGTGGAGTTGGCCAGCAGCCCGTACGCCACGCCGCCCTTGACTTTGCCGTAGTAGTCCGACACGATTACAGCCAGCAGCACCAGCCACCCGCATGTGCTGAGCAGCGCCAGGTAGTAGAGAGCCGCACCTCCCACGTCGCCGTCAAAGCCGCGCAAGAGCATCATCCCGTCTGGCAGCAGGGCAGCCGAGCCTTTGTCGTAGGCGTCGGTGAGGTCAAATGCCTCGGCCGAGGAGTCGCGCTTGTCACTGATGCTGTACAGCGCCATGCCCTTGTCGTTGCTATCTTTGCTTGCCGAAGCGGCCATCTTTGCCGGCGAGGATGAGCAGACTTGCCGCAGAAATGCTGCGCGTCTCTCGCGAATGCTCTTGTAGATGTGCCACGCCAGGTAGAGCACCACCTCTGCGCCGACGATGCCGTAGAACGCCAAGCAAAAGTCCTCCTTGAAGGTCAGCTTTGGCTCCTGAGCCGTCGGGCACACATTCCACAGCATTGCGTCTGTCGAGTTGCTCGCCCACGCAGCAATGCCCGCTCCGCCGTCTGCGGTGGCATTGCTTGCCGCGATGCCCCACGCCTGCGCGCAAGTGAATTCGAGCTGCTGCTGCTTTATGCTGGGGTCATATCGCCTGATGCTGACTGTGCTGCCATACGCCGGGCATGCCCTGTAGACGCCGCCGGCCATGTCAGACTCGGCAAACCCGCACAGGCACGGATTGACTACGCCACTACATCTGCCATGGCAAGATCCGTCGTCGCAAAGCTGCTGGCTGCCGCTGCAGCTAGCGGGCTTGATCGCCGTTGGGCAGTCGTCAAAGCTGCGTACGCAGAGCACTGGGCAGCTCATTCCAGCTCGATCGAGCAGCGGGCACGTCTTGCCGCTGACATCAACGCTGTTGGCTACACGCGAACGTTTGTTTTCAGTCAGTCAGTCAGTCAGTCAGTCAGTCAGCCACGGTAATAAATAAGGTGGGTGGTTTGGCGATGTAACCTTAGCTCTCTTTCTCTCCCTCGGTCATGTGGCGAGCAAGCCCACATGCAAAGTGAAGCTGCGGCTAGCCAGAACATTCTGCCTGGCTACAAAGCGTGCGTGAGGGAGGAGAGTGCAGCAAGCGCCGATTGATTGGGAGAGAGGAGGTATGTGTTGGCTTGGCTTACGTGTGTTAAAGGCGGGAAATGCAGCGCCGAGTGTCAGAAGCGTGGCGAGCGCAGCCAGCACAGCGGAACAGCGCCGTGGCATATGCACCAATGTGTCGTCGTCGCTATGGAAAAGGTATTAGTGCTATAGTTGAGCGAGAGCGACTGCGGAGCCAGAGCTAGGCCTAGAGCCGGATAGTGCAGAGATGAGGGAGAAAAGAGAACAATAGGAGGCGATATTAGAGAGAGGCAATAGCAGAGATGGATGAGACAGATAAGCAAGGCAAGCAATCTGTCCGTCCGTTCCTCTTGGGACAAATGTATGTGGCCTTCTTTGCCCGATTGCCCCTTTATTGCCCGATGCGCGCAGTGGAGGAGACGGCAGGCGGGCGGGATAGCGGCGCTTTGGGGGGTGAGGAAATCACAGCACGGCGCTCTGTGAGCAAAGAAGGGAGGGAGATTGCTCTCCGTTTTCCTCGCATCTCAAGACAGCGCATCCCCAACGCTCGGCATCAGGCATTCTTTTGTTCAAGGAAGATGCGATTGAGCCGGCAAAGGCGAGCAGGTAGCTAGACACAGCGGCTGTGAGAGATATGAGAAAAAGCGTTCATGTAGTAATAGAGACTGGCACATGCCAAAGAAAAAGAGATGGCCAAGTAAAAAAGAAGAAAAAAAATTATGCGGCACTCGCCAAACACACAATAGCAAGCCCAGTGCACAAAAGTGTAGAAATAAAGCTACGAAGCAAGAAGATCAGTTAGATCGACAAACAAGTTGCTTTCGTGGCGCAATTGGCTAGCGCGTCTGACTGTTAATCAGGAGGTTGTTAGTTCGAGCCTAACCGAGAGCGACATTTTTT